ATCCAAAACCGAAAGTTCAAAATTTCTAATTATATTCTGATTATGATATTGTCGCGCCATCTAGTATTCTATTTGTGCAATTTTAGCTCTTTCATTTCGAGTATTTTTCTGTTGCATAGCTAGATATTCTGTGCTAATAGTCATGAAAATAGTCCATTTTGGTCAAGTCACCGATTTTGATGAAACTTAAAAAGCGTAGAATAAGATAATATATAGGTCATGGTAGTGTTACGAGAATAGTAATGGATATAGGGGATGTATTTTAATCTTTATCAAAAATATGTGAAAAACAAGGATCCAAAAATTAATTTTCTTGCAAAGCCCAAATACCTAAGCCTCCAAAAGTGTATATATTCTGAATCTACATCAAATTTACTACAAATCCTGAGATTTTCATAATTTTATGACTGTGATTACTATTTTTCTAAGGCCTTTGAGAAAAAAAGCGACTTTTTTCTATACGTTTATATAGATTCAGAATATACCCTGTATATTCTGTTGATAGTCCCAGAAACAAGTACGGATATTTTAAGGGGTGGTAGATCTCGATAAAAGAAACATATTTCCTCTTTACCGTTTTTCAAATAACTCCAAAATAACGGAGGTATTTTATTTTGAAAATTTCCAAAAAAGAGATTTTTTGCTTAAATTTTGAGAACCACTGGTTCTGAGTTTTTTCTGGGTTTTCTTTCTTGTAAATTGAATCTACTACCTATGTTGCCATATTATCAATAAATAATGTTTTTTAACTAAAAAATTAATTTTTTTCAAAAATTTTTTTTACGCGAAAACCTCATAGGCTTGTTTCTGAGGTCGAAAAAATTCGTTACAATTAAAATATCTGTACTTATTTCTAGGACACCCTGTATGAAGCTGAGGTACCCCTTTGAAAGCTTAGGTTCCTTGGCTTTGTGAGAAAATTATTAATTTTAATTTTCAATTTGTATGTTGAAACATCCAACGGTCATAAAAATTGACGATTTTCGTCATGTAAACGATTTTCTTAAAAATCTGTTATTTACTAATTAAAAAGCGTAGAAGAAGAAAATATAGGCCCTATGAGTCTTACGAGACCAGTACTGGGACATAGGGCCATCATCAAAAATAGGTGAAAAACAAGGGTCCAAAAAAATTAATTTCCTCACAAAGCCAAGCTAACTAAGCCTTCAAAGGTGTACATATTCTGAATCTACATAAAATTTTCTATAAATGCTGCAATTTTCATCATGTTATAACTATGTTTACTATTTTTCTCGGGCCTTTGAATAATTAGTAAGTAAAATTCTTTAAGTAATATTCAAAATTCGATAGTATTTGGAAAGAAAATCAAATAAGTTAGCATTTAAAAGTCACTAGATCCGTATAAATATTTTTTCGGTTACCTTCTCCTCAGTTAGCATTAGCATTTAAAAAAGATAAAACAATTAAACAGGCAACAAAACAACGGAGACATTCTCGAATGCGATGGCTTGCAGACGTTTTTGCATGTTACTTTCATTACCTTTTAAAGCCCTGAGTCATTCGAGATATTTTTGACAAAAAGACCGTTTAATGAAATGTTGAGTTTGAAGTGGCACATCGGTGCTCATTAGAATTCGTCCGGTGACGTCAGGTTTTTTCGTTTTATCCGCCTTTTTGTCCCTATTGTATTTGACGGTCTTTTATTGTCGATTTCATCAATAGAAAGCATACAAGCCGATTCAATCTGATTAAAATTCTTTCGAGGTGCGTCTATTTTCGCACTGGCACAATAGAATATTCTTTTTACAATTTATATGGTGTAGGTATGAAACGTAAAACGGATTTACGGTTTAAGGGATTAGAATAATTTATTTTTATATATTTAAATAAACCTTGTTTTGTACTCAAAAATATAATACTTATATAAAACCACCCAAAGTTTCCAACTGGCAAAGGAACACTAAAAGAAATCTTCCGTCAACTGGACTGGACCAACATAGGATTAAATTTTATCTAGTTTCCGTAGAAAATGCATTTTTCTTGTAATTTAGAACTCATTTATCAATATGTTTATTTCATTAAAAAATAAAAAAAGGGTTTAAATATTTGTTAATGAGGACCAATTAATATGATTCCAGTATTCAAACTACATTAAATGACTGTTAAAATGACTGTTAAACACCTTAAAAATTATATTTCATTTTTTGACAAATGCATATTTATAACAACAGAGACGTTCATTTTCATAACTTATTGTTATATTGATTTCTGATTCAAATCCACATTTATTTAGAATAATTTTAACGAACACAATTAAGTATGTAATTAATTAGTATTTGGGCGGAAATACTGGTGGTATATTTAATTAATGGTGTACTCTTTTATAAAGATTTAAATAGTTTTTTGCATACAAATGGGCTAATAATATTATCGTTTTACTAAAAACGTTAATATTACTAGCCTGTACATTTTGTACATTTGTTGTTTTAATAACAATCTAAAATGTCAATATTCCATGGGTATATTGATAAATGAGGTCTAAATTATAAGAAAATGTATTTTCTACGAAAACTTGAAGGGATAGGTAAAAAGTGGTATAATACAATTTTATAGACAATTAAATTGTGCATCTGATTCTTATAAAATATACAGGGTGTTCCATTTAAATTAAACCAGTTATTGTCGTTTAAAGCTAGTAATTATTTAAAATAAATTTTTATACACTCTGTATAAGGTAGTATAATTTTTATTATTGCAGCACAATAACTGATCAATAAATAAACTTCAGTAAATATTTAGTATTAAAAACTTTGATACCCTCGAAGAAATGAAGCCTTAAAATTTATACTGCAATTTCACAAAATTGAAAATATTTCAAAAACGGTAAGGTTTAAGTGTAATAATCCTTAATGAAATTTACCTTTATTTTAATCGTAGAAACTAAAAATGCAATAATATACAGGATGTTCCATTTAAAAAAATAAAACTTTGATATTTTTTATTTATTTGGGACACTCTGTATCTTGTAAAAATATTTTTAAATTGTAGCCCTAATAGTCCTTCAACGAACCCAAAACTTACAATTTGTAAAAATCTAATCGTTTAGCTACAATACTCCGTGTCGTATGTGGTGAACAACCCTGTATACTATATATTATACTATATGGTTATATTGCCACAGATTATACAGATTATAAACTTGGTTTTTTCTTTATTGTTTTTCGTGGTTCCAATTTTCGGAATCGGTCACTAGTTAGGTTACTAGTTTGCGCACATAGCACGCCCACTTATGGCCTGTAAAATTGTGCACAGCGCCTGACCGGCACGGTTATTAGAGAGATATCGGAAAACCGAATAGCGTCATCTGAGCGTCATGCAGTATTTACGCGTACCTTATCATGGTTACGATATGCGCGAGTCAATTTTTAACGCAACACCCGCTAATAACGTTACCGCCTGACGTAATTTGCGGATCAATTACACCAAGCGCTATTTCTAAATAACGTTTAAAAATTGCTTAAATGGTCATGTGCGGGTATTTGACAACCGGAGCCGGCCGGCGAGATCTTTTATTTTAGGTTATGTTTGAATTGTTTTGAATTATTACTTTAGTTTTATTAGGTAATTTGATATTTAAGTAGCTGGGATTAGTTTTAATTAAATAAATATGGCCCAAAATATGGATTCCACCTCTTCCAATATTAAAGAACCTATAAAGAGGCTTAGGTTTAAAGCAGATGACGACTTAGCCCTTCTAAGCAGGGTTGCCACAAGAAAATTTTTGATTGTGCAGAACTTGACCATAAAAATGTCTAGCATTGTGTAGCAATCCATGACCAATAATTGTAAACTATCCAATATGACCAAGAATAAGACGTAAAATCGCCAAATTTTAAAGCATAATTACGAGTCTCGATAAGAGTCTCACTTCCACTCGTTTGTATCTATACGTCAATATATTCATTTCCCATTTCATTTCTTCTCATGCCAGCAAATATTGCAATGACGTCAAAATTGATGTCGCGAAACTAACGATTTTATGGAAAAATTAGACCGGTTAAAAGGTCTGTTTATAAGCTGTAAACAATTCAGGACTGTTTAATCGGCCAAATTTGTCCATAGAAACTGCAGTCCTTGCTGATATGGGAGGAAAAGTGAAATAGGAATTGAATATTATTCAGATATGGCAACGAGTGGACCGAACTACAGTGAAATTTGGCCAAAGTACATCATTATATCAATTATTCACGTAAGCGGATCTACCTAAAAACTATTAACATGCTAGTCCAGAGGTAAAGTTATACTTAAACCACATTAAATTTAATATAACTTTTTTATATCTCTATAATATAATTTATTTGAAACAAGTTATTAATATTTTTTAACAGATCTAATCATTTAAAAATTTACTTGTTAATTATTAAAAGGAAAATAACACTTTTATTTTTATTTTAGCCTTAATGTTTAGTATTAAATGAAACTAGTCTCACATTTTTACTTTGAAAATCTACCAGCACTGGCTTGGCAATAGTTTAACAACGGAAAGCCTGAAATTTTGGTTTTCTGGGCACGTCCACTAATCGATATCGACCAAAATTTAGACTAGTCCCTGTTCTTTGCGCCCCAATTTTACGATATAGCCTTTAACACAACGAGATTTTAGCTTCTAACGAAAAAAAATAAAGGATATGTAAAATTGCGTGAGCCAACTCTGAGTACAACACTCTTTAATTAGTATCCAATTATTATTTAGTGAAATATAAACTAAAATATATAGTGAATTTGATGGATTTTTAACTGAAGTTTTATTCATTACACTTAATTCACTTTAAGATATAATTTTATCAAATTTATTTTAAAAATGTTAACATCCAATGAGTAAACCTTGATATTATCATTATTTACATTTGTTTTAAAATAAAACAGCTCACTAAATATATAGAGATAAAATATTTTTAGTGTAAAGCCTCTGCTGTTGTGAATATTGGTTCACGCAACGTTACACAAACTAAACGTCTCAAAGTTGAAGAATTACTTACGGTGCAAGCCTCGATTTCGTTATTAATGTCTTCGGATGGATTATTGCCAAACTCGAACTGTCGGTTCTCTGCCACATCCAACGAAATGACGAAGTCCCTCAAGTCGACGATCTCCTTCTGCAACCTTCGGTACTCCTGCATTTTGGTGCTGCGGATCTTAAGCGCTCGCCATTGACTAAGCAGTCCTGGAACAAGGTTATGCGATGTAATTTCCAGCATGCGGAACAACAAGCCCAGCCATTATTTTTAAGTAATAGTAAATTTAGATTTGACCTAACAGAATCCGTAATTATACTAGCTAAATATAGCCACGCTATGCACTTTAATGATATGTGTGTTGGTTCGTACTAGATATATTTGAAGAAGTATTAGTAATAACAACAGTGTCATAGTTAAATATATTTTGTTATTAATCATTACTTCATTGTGTTTTCTGTTGATGGTTAGATAAAAGCTAATTGAATTGAAATAAAAACTTACAGTGTTCCTCCCATCTGTGGATTAAAATCAGAACTATGCTCTATAAAACGGCTTTCAATCGTCACTGTAATGAGTTCTTGAGGAAAATGAGCGGAAACGAATAAAAATAACCCAGAATTTCATCGACAAAAAACGAGTTTTACCAGTTTATGACCTAACCGACTTTCAAGAAAGCGAAAAACAAGCAATATCGTGTGCCTATATCATTAATTAATTTGTTGCGTGCGCTCTCAGTCGTATCTGCTTGCTTTCTTATTGAAAAATCCGTTCTTTACCACTGAATATCGGATCCTACGCACCTTCAAGATGTGCATGTACTTATAAGGAATTGCAGGGTGCCCACAAGGTTATTTAAAAATTCAATTCAACAGACAACTGAACCTCTTTTCTTTCTTTCAGTTTTATTCTTTATTCAATCTTTTATTTAAAAATTACCTTCAGTTGTTATGCAACCCTAAATACACACAACGGCTATGTTTCTCCCAATATTTAAAGAGTGACCTCTTTACTTGATAGAAATAACATAAAAATATTTTAGATTAATTACAACATATCATTCTGTTTTCTGAGCATCATATTTTTATTAACAACATTCTCTTACATGCACTTAACACATGCCACCAACAACTGAATGGATACACCCAAGGAGAGTCTGTCTTAAACAAAAAAGGATTTTTTAAGGAAAAGGAGAGGAATTTCAAACTAGAAAAGCGAAAAATGAAGCGGTAAAACATTTAATGCAAATTCATGCTGTTATAAGCGAAATAAAAAAAATATAGCATATAAAACATACATAAATAACCATGCTCTTACATTACAAAATATATTATTATCACAAATAGATAAGAGAAAATAAGAAAAGACAGTAAAAAATCTATAATCTATGTTAGCTTCAATCTATCGGCTGGTCTAATTTTACGTAAAAAATACAGAAGGGCTGATACAGCTTTTTTGATTAAAAACAATAGCAATGAGGTCCAAGTGCAGGTGTATATTATCGATAGCCAGTTCCTACCTGTTGTGACTGCCTTGTCGCTATTAGACATCTTGTATTCTTCTGAGGATTCTGTGATGTGATTCAAAAGGGCGATATGTCGGTCACAGTTTGACACCAAATCATCCTGAAATTCCAATATTCATGTAATATTTTTAACAAAATTGTGATGGATATTAAAACGTATAAAATTATCTACTACTGATAATATTTCTTGACAAAATGGTGAATGAGTTTTTTTTTAAATTTGATAAAATGGTGAATGTGTCAAATATTATTATGGTGAAGGAGAATTTTTAAAATATAAAACATTTATTTATCTAAATTTTAGATAATAAGATTTATTTATATTAAAATTTATTTTTCAAAATGAAGAATAATTCAAATAAAAGTAATTTCTCAAAACAAGTCTCTTACGATGAGTATGCTGTATAAGCAATATATTTTCTTTTATTTAAGATTTAGTTACTCTAAATTGTTGTAAAGATGATATACTAAAAAAACTGTAAGGACTTTTTGGGCTTTAAAAGACTAACTTATATTTTTGAAAATAAATAGACTTACAATTTCATTAGTAACCAGACCTAATCCTTCCTTAACGTGATCAAAGACATCTTGGGCGTACTTCAGCTGATCTCTTGAATCATTTATCAGTTGCTTTAAGCTTTCCTCTTCACCATTCGATTCTTCTGCCGCTTGTACCTGAGCTAATACTTTTCTTTTAAATTTGGGTGACATATCAGATAACGCAGACCAATCAGACTGACTGTCAATGAAATTTCTGTAGTCCTCTCCAAAATTAAGTAGTCTTCTTGCAGCGTCTGAATCGTGTGACTCACTGTAAGGTTCTGACAGGTAGTTTTCCTTTAAATGAAAAAAAAACAGGTGTTAATAGAAGAGTGTCTGTGTTTTTTGTACAAAAATTTAATACCTGATAATTATCCCAAGCTTCTGATAATGAACTAGATTCCGTGGCGTTGAGACTGGATTTTCCCGGACTGTCATCTCGTATTTCTGAGTTATGCAAATACCTTTGTTTTGTTCCAATTTTAAAGTTTGGTAATCTTAAAGAGAAATAACGTATAAGTTAAAATCAAGCTTAAAATCCATTATTTTACCGTTTTCTCGTTTCTTCGTCGCTGTCTGCACCACTTGTTGTTGAAGTTTCGCCCCAGACGTGTTGACAGTAATTGACAGCTGATGGATCGCTGGAAGTGTGCCTTTCGTGGTTCGCCTTTTGTAAACTGTATCCAGAAAATGAGCCAGATTTAATCAACAAATTCCTGTGGTGTCTGCTAGTGCCAGGGCTGTATAAAAGATGAGGATCGGATTTTCCAAACTAGAATAATCAGAATAAATTTATTAGGTTTGGTAGAGAAACTTTTTTAAATCTAGTTAACTTACCAGTGCTTTCTTTTTTAATTTTGATTTCTTTCTTCTGATTGGTGAGGTCTTTTCAGTGACCAACGGTGATATTTCTTCCACTGTTGAGGATGTCGAATTGTTTCCGTTAACGTTAAAACCGTTCGCGCTTAGGGTCGTGAATCTATCCAATGATTTTGGTGATAAATGCATTTTATGTAGAGCAGATTCCGATATTGAAAAGTTGTTAATCCTGAAACACAAAAAATAACGTCTTACATTAGTACATGTGGTTATACACTCGCCGGCACGAAAAACGGGCACTTTAAAATTTTAATGTGTTTTAAGTTTTATATATTGTGTTCTAGTGAACCGAATTTAAGAAATTTGTGCCTAAATTATTTGATTTTTTCGTATCTCTTTCTAAATTAAAAATGAAAGTTCTCATCTGTCAGTTTTATGCGGGAAAACAAAATGTTGATATTTTGGTGAAAGTTTGTAACACCCTGTGGAATATGTTAAAAAAGCAAGGGATTTGAAAGTAATTTTATCATCTAGGTGCACCTTTTCACTATAGTTAAAACAATAAACTCTTATTTCATGGGTGTGTTGATAAGGACCCAAAGCAAAGGCATGCTTTTAATGATAAAAATGCTTAAATGTAAAAATGTAAAATTTAGAAAAAAATGTCTTCTTCAACAGCGAATATCTTTAATAAAAATATTAATAATATATAACAATATTAATAATAATATTGAGATGAACCAAATAACAAACTATCGATAAAGCATATAGCTTTTTTAACATATTCCACAGGGTGTTTCACACTTTCACCAACATATAAAGATTTTGTTTTCCCACAGTTTTTTTGACAGATGGGAACTTCCATTTATAATTTAGAAAGAGATACTAAAAATTCAAATAATTTAGCTACATATTGCTTAAAAAATCATCAAAATTGTCCCATTAGAACAAGATATATTAAACTTTAAAATATATCAAATTTTATAAAAATACAATACAAATTTTTGGAATTTACCCAGTTGATGAAGTGGTTCCTAATTGGGAAATGCATGAGCCACACCAAGTCCTGTCTCCGTTTAATTCTGGATAAGAAGTATTTTGAGAATCCCTTAATGTCATTGTACTTGTATCGATGTCCTCGGATGCTTGTGATTCTTTCTCGTCATCTTCACCGCTCGCATCACAACTGTCGTCTGGTTTTTCCATGCTAAGCCATTTGTTCACGCGTGACATCTTCAACGAATTACTTCTCTCGATTTTCCTCGATTTTTCCGGACTAACAAGCTCTTCTGCCTTCTGAACAAGCATTCGTAGTTCATCTCCAGATATAAGCGTCGTTTTGGGGACTATGTGCTCTTCAACGTCTTCGATTCTTGTTTCTTCGTCGACCTGCATTGCTATTGTTTGTTCCGCGAGTTTCGTGTAGGTCCATTCTTCTTCGGAAGTCTCATCCAGAGTGCTGGTGTGATCGTCCGTCTTCGGAAGTGTAAATCCTTCTATTTTGTCCATGTCAGAGTCCGTGTCTTCGTGTTTAAAGTAGTATGTAGCTAGATTAGGAGCTTTCTTGTTCGATTGCGTGAATTGGGATGTGTCACCGCCTAATCCAATGGCACCATCAACAACATCTGTACCATTTGTCTCTTCGAAGCCGGTGTTCTCGCTCATCACGCTTTCATTTGTCTTTACTGAAAAATCATCGTCCTGAAATCAAAACAGATTTAAGTTGCTTGATGTTTTAAACGGTTCGCGCTGACAAAAACTAATCCCGAACAAAGAGTTAAATTTCAGAGGCCAAGGTCAATAAATTTGTCCTCGATGAATATAAAAGATGCCATTGTTTGAGTGGAACAACATTAAGGATGGGCAAACAATGTTCAAACAAATCGTGTCATTATAAGATGAGTTCCCACGTTTTAGAATTTTTAACACAACTATAAAGAGCAACAGTGTAACATCTATTACTGTACTTGTTAAGCTAAAATTGTCTATATTTTTGTATTACCTTATTGTGTAGTAGGAAATAAATGGAAAAAAGTCGAAAATTCCTATGTTTGGCTATTTAACACATTTTCAAAGAGTTGGAAACATAGTAGAAATAGTCACAAAGATATAAAAATTTCAGTATTTATAGGAAATTTGATTTAAATTAAAAATTTATACATCTTTGACGCTGGACGCGCGTTTCGCTAACCATGTTAGCATCATCAGCAGATGATTATAAACTAAGGAGTTTATAATCATCTGCTGATGATGCTAACATGGTTAGCGAAACGCGCGTCCAGTGTAAAAGTAAAAGTGTTTTGGTGTATTGTGGTGATTTAGTGTTTTTATTTTGCTGTGTAACACCAAAGGTTCCAACCCTCAACTGTAATCTTTGACGGCTTAAGTACTTTGGCTTTGTGAGAAAATTAATTTTTGAATCCTTGTTTTCAGCGATTTTTGATGATGGTTAAAACTTCCCATACATCTATTACTGTTCTCGTAAGACTATAATGGTCCATATTTTCTTAATCTACACCATTTAATTAGTAAGTAACAGCAATTTTAACGAAATTGGTGGCATGACGAAAATCGGCAATTTTTCATGACTATTTTTTACATATTTCAAAGGCTTTAGAAATACAGTGACATAGCCATAAAATTATGAAATTTCCAGCATTTGTAGGAAAGTTTATGTACTTTCAGAAAATATACTACATCCATTACTGTCCTCGTAAGACTACAATGACATATATTTTCTTATTCTACATCGTTTAATTAGTAGGTAAACAACAGCATTTTAGGAAAATCTATATTTTTTTTTCGTATTAGTACGAGAGAAAGTCGAAATCACAAAAAACACCATAGTGCTTAAGAAAAAGACCAGAATTAAAGCTGAGAGCGTAAGACAAAATGCTTACAGCTACTAAATTCTTAAGAACAAATTGCAACAGCCTGAATACCATTGAAAATATGTTCTAACAAAGTCCAGTGTACGAATAGGGTCACAAAAGATCGTTATAAATAATAACTTATGTCTTCCTTTAGTCGTTTGAGTTGGAAATGCAGCGAATAAAATGAAACTTTGTGGCTATGATGCATGAAATGAAGAAATATAATATTTTACACATGGGTCGGCGAAAAACATGAGGTCTATGGCTTTACTAACTCCCACTTTTTTCTTTCCACGTACTTAACTCTCACAGCTGGAGTCCGTCCTGAAAAACACCATTATAATAATAGGCGCAATTTGTTCGTTTGCGTATGGCAGATATCGAGACCTACTAATTTGTACATTACTCATTCCTATGATCGATGACTTTTGCGAGGATTTTGCCTAGAACCATCCTGCCGATAATAATGATCTAATTATCCTTTATTATTTATTTTATTGATTTATCTGTTACACTGTGAGTACATACATTTTAATAAGCTAAAATAAAACAACTACGACATCGTGAAGTCTCGATATATTAATAGATACAATAGACTCTATTAGTTTCCGGGATTTTCTAGACAGATAAATAAAAAAAAAACGTTATTGAGACTTTTATCTTTGACTATACCTTTGAAATAATGTTATTGTGTGGATTATATTTAAACTTGTATTTTTGCTGTTTGACGATTAAACTCTCCCGTGTTTTCACTTTTAATTTTATACAGCGTCGGGCATCTATAGCTTCTAGAATAAAAAACTTGGCAATTTTGTTTAAGTGCAAACCTAAAGTAAAAAGTAAGTACTAGGATGTATTTCAGGAAAATATTTTAACTTATAGGATGGCTCAAAAAAGTGTGAGTAGATCGGGACGATTTTTTTAAATGGAACACCCTGTATATTATTTGATTTTTGACTTCCTTTCAGGTCACTTAATATAATCCTAAGATACGAGTAAATATATTTCAGTAGTTTCAGATTTCAGAGATATTAATTAATAAATAAAAAATATACAGGGTGGTCCGAACTGTATACCGGAAACTTCGGCAACATATTCTGCAGATAAAAATAAGTAAAAAAGTCCGTGTAAATGTATGTCCTAAAATGCTTAGTTTCGGAGATACAGGGTGTAGAAGTTTCATTTTTATTTCGATTTTTTTCCAAATAATTTCTGAAGTAAGTTCAATATTTGGATAAAAATTGGTGTCTGGAAGTTTTTTGACATGAGAAATTTGATTTTGATGTCAGTGTGACTCCTACTAGTAGAGGGCGCCACCTACATATTTTTTAACTGGTTTGAAGAGTAATAACTTTTCGTCTGTACCTGTATAAAACTACTGAGTAAAAAAATATACATTTACGACGTTTTCTACGCGAAAAAGGTCTCTTGGTAAAAACCGCTACGAGTAATTGTTTTCGAGATATTTGGAAAATAAATTATCAATACCTGTCATCATTGACATAAATTAAACATGTTGACTAAATAGTTATTAGACTCAAATCATAAATTTGAAATGTTTTTGTGCCAAATGTTCAACAGAAACTGTTTATCATCATTTTTTGCAGAAAAATTTATGATTAATTTAAAAAAATAAAAATTTCCCCAATTTATTATTTTAGTGAAATAACCATCTACTCAACGTTTTTATTTTTCGTCAATAATGACATGTATTTACTGTTTCCATTCTAAATATCTTCAGAACTGTTGCTCGTAGCGATTTTTACAAAGAGATATTTTTTACGTAAAAAATCACAGAGATGTATATTTTTTCGCGCGGTAGTTTTATACAGGACGGACAAAAAGTTATTACGCTTCAAAACAGTTAAAACACATGTAGGTGGCGCCCTCTACTAGTAGGAGTCATATTGACATAAAAATCAAATTTCTCATGTCAAAAATCTTCCAGACACCAATTTTCATCCAAATATTGACGTTATTTCAGAAATTATTTAGAAAAGATCGAAATAAAAATGAAACTTCTACACCCGGTATCTCTGAAACTAAGCATTTTAGGACATACTTTTATACGAACTTTTTTACTTATTTTTATCTGCAGAATATACTGCCGAAGTTTCCGGAATACAGTTCGGACCACCCTGTATATTTTTCAACCTTTCTTAAAAAAAATTATTAAAAATACAAGAACTATCACTGAAATCAAAACTATATTAGGTATTTACTTTAAATGGTCGGTATTTAACTTTGATATAAATATAATAAATCGGTAATCTTAAATCATACAAGGTGTTCAAAATTCTGCGCCAGACTTTCTAAAAAAATAAAAAAAAAATTCTTCGTTTCTTTTTAAATGGAAAACACCCTGTAGATATTTTTTACTAGATGGAGAATTAAAAAATGGACATTTATAACATTTTGCTTATGTCCAATATAATTTCAGGTGTTTCAGATTGTTAGTAGGATTTTTTTGAAGCGTTGGATAGAAGTGTAAAAAAAATGTGCGTCCGAATGTTTGTACACATTTTTGAATATAAATTTGGCAGAAGGTTAACGGTCTGTGCTTGTGTTTCAGCCTATAAATCTAGATACTTATTTTAACTCCCCGATCCAAGGATAAAAGTGGTTATTTTGACTTAAAATACACCCGAACTATTTATACACTTGAATAATCTGCCGATTAGTATATTTCTAGCTATCATGGTCATGCCTAAATCATAGTTATAATAAAAAGTTCCTCTTATATTTGATTTTACTAAAGAGTTGTTTATAATATACTTGACAAACATAAGGATATGCTTCAAGATACGATACTATCTGAGTAAAATATCATAAAGCCAACTATATGGTTCACGAGAGTAATACAGCTAAAAACTATAACTTCTGACTAGGATTGTTTAGGTAGCAATGTACTTTCTTGCTGTATTTATGAACTATTCTGTTATGCAAAAGCAGAAAGTCCGTTTATGTTGTTCGAACACCTGCTTCAGTCACAATTCATGACTATAAAAATGCCAAAAACGATTAGAGATAAATGATGAATAGTAAATTTAGTAGTAAAATATATATTTTTAAGCAATTTGTACCAAAGTATTTTGACTTTCAGTTTCTTTTTAAATTAATGTTTCATAGTTGTGTTGATGAGGACCAAAACCCAAGATGCAATGAATTTAATGCTTAAATATTTATAAAATATTGCTGTCTTCTTCAAAACGAATATCTCCAATAAAAATATAGCTGTAGAGATGAGTCAAAAAACAAATTATCGAGTAATTAAGCGCCTTGATAATAAAGTGGTTCTTAAATTTCTTACTTAATTAAACTCTTCCACAAAGTGTTTAAATCTTTCGCCAAAATAACAATGATTTGTTTGCCTCGTATAATAGGTAGTCGAAGACCTTTATTTTTTATTTTTAAGTCAAATAATTTGGCTACATATTGCTTAAAAATCATCAAAATCGGTCGCCTAGAACAATATATATGTTGAACTTTAACTTTTAAGCCGGTCAGTTTAGAATTGTGCACTACAGTAACCTACAGAGACACTAGTCAATATATAATTAAATTCAGCACAAAAACTATATCCGTACACAACAATTCCGTTAATCTGAGCGAAAATGACAAGAATAAAAGCTGGGGCTTTGTGTTATAGAAAGCGTAAAATCACTAAACCGAAGATAATACATTTTAGTACTACCTAAATCAAAGAAAAATATTCTAATACCTAAAACATAAACTACATTAAGTTTTTTTACCGAAAAAATGAACTAGTTTTATTTTTTTGCAGTTTTTGTTACCACTGTTTTCTCTTGCCGGACTTGATTGAAGTCTTGTTTACCAATAATTGAAGAAAATTTAACATGCAATAAACGTTTTCACTTTTGAGACGTCTAAATGACGGACTTTTTTCCCTTTAATTGACATATTCATTTGAATATTTCTAGGATACCAGCAAACAATAAATCAGCCAAATAAATATTACAAAATATACAAGTCATGTATCTGGTATTACTTTAGTTGTAGAAAATAAAATGTTTGGAGTACACGTGAGGCAATGGAATATTAGCATATCGAGAAAGATATCAACAGAAACGAAGCAATAACTCTTGTTATTAATTACGGGCAAAAAAGAAATACAAAATACCGCCAGAAGCTTAAAGAAATAAAAGTAATCGGCTTCCTTTTAATTAAAGCTTTATCGAAACAGATCTTCAGTTACAGATCACGTTCATGTCAAAAACATGCTGTTGAACTCTTTAAATTAAAATTTGACAACTGGTACACGGTGATGGGTACTTTCCAAGAAAACAAATTATACACGGTGTCCCTAAAAATTCTCTACAGCACGGTATCACAGTAAAAAATAATATTTATATTTTAACCAGAATCTTCAATACATCTCTGAACTGTCCTTTTATTCTTTATGAAATACAGTCAAGGTGTGCGAAATGCATCACCTGCTATATTAAAATACCGGGTCTTGTGCTGTAACACGAATTTAGTATCTTGCACAGCTGCCCATCATTATTGGGACACCAACAAGAGATAAACTTATATTTTATACCAAAATATTAATTAACATATTTCAGGATGTCCAAGAAAAATATTTCATCCATCGTGTACTGTATAGATAATGCTACGATCTAACTATATCAGCTTAGAAATGATTGTCATTATAGTGTTAGAAACAAGAATTTATTAGATAAAAAGAGATGAGATATTAATAATTATTAATTAAAGCACTATAAATTTCCTGTCAACGGAATTAGCTATTAACGCAGTTTTTTTTAAACAAAAACATTTACGAAATGACATCACTGTACAGAGTGTAACGAAATATGGATTATCCTTTTAAGGAAATGTTATTCACTACATTTTTTTCTAATCTACGATTTGGTTATGGCCAAGAAAATCAATTTTCACAACCACGTTACAAAATTTAAAATAATAAATAATAGAATCAAAAGAAACTTACTTCACTTGAGTAGTCCTCAGGCTGATTAACGTACGATCTATGTCTGTATTCTTTGCCGCTCAATCTCGGGTACTTTGAAGCCGGTTCCCTGTAACAGTCGCTGTCCGATTCGTCTGAAGAGCTTGCCGAATTCTGCAAGGAAGAGAAGAAGATATTACATCATCGTCCGAAAAGAAACAGTTTAAAAGCTTATTACCACAACGACAAGAAAATACATATCAGTGTTCATTATTTTAACCAACTAGGTATCACGAACAAAAATGTTCAATAAAATGTTATCCGCCAATCTTATCTACAAATGGATAAAAAAGCGATATTTTATCTCGTATCATGAAAACTTAATCAATATTTTGTTTACGTGTTGATATTAATTATGAGGATATTTTCACGTAGGTGAATTCAGTCAATTAAAAGTCTTTTAATTGTTAGGGCTCGAAAAAACGGGCCTTCTAAAGAACGTTCTCTAATGAAATTGAGAATTTATAAAGATTTGTTCATAGGTCAGACAGATAATTTTCTCTATTCAATGAATGAAAAAAAATAATTTTGCAACACTACGGTGACCTTAGAATAATACTGAAGGTACGCTATGGTACGTTCACCCATTTATATGACGCAAACTTCATTCGTTTAGCAATCAATAAATCTTAAGAATAAAAGCCAGTGGATTACGGAATCTAGATAGAATGCAAAAAAATTCTAGACAAAGGAAATGTTTTAGTCATCTAGTTTAGAGTCAGTTTCTTATGTCTATTATTTGTACAGGGTGGGTCAAATTCGACGCTTTTAAATGGAAACACCCTTTTCTATAGGAGATAGACGAAAACTAATATCGGTGTCTGGAGCTCAATTTTCATCAAAAACATGATGGTGAAAACCGCACATCAATATCTGTTACCGTTTCGGAGTTACAAAAATGTGCATTTTTAACAAATCGCTGTAACTTTTTTGCTATGGAAAATTTTGTATTTCTATGAAAACATTTCCAAAGCATCTTTTTACGTAGAATTTAATTGTTTAAGTATAATTTTTTTAAACTTAATAATTTAAGAGTCATCAATAGAAAAATTGATTTTTTATATGGGACACCCTGTATATTTTTAATTTATTGAAAATAATTTAAAATTACCTTTCCAAAAGTATAACACACTTGATATTTTGCTCGATTCCTCTTCGAGATATAGAGTATATAAAATTCGCCCGCTTTAAATAAGTAGGCTTTGAAAGGCACCGGCTGTAATGCAAAAAAATTCTAGCTGTGAGCATCAATTAAAACGAAAATAATATTTGCTATGAGAGATGCAGAATTTTATAATAATTTAAAATATATTTAACCAACATCAACACATTTAAACTATATCTCATAACAATAAAAATAAATAGCAAACCAGGACATGAGATTTTGCTACAGGTGTTCGACATATCGACCGTTTTCTGTTATGGACAGACGGGGCAGTTTTCTTGCGGAATTCATTAACTCAGTGGGGGTGAAAGATACCCTCTCATAACTGCTAAGTATTTCTAATTCTTGTCTAGATTATACAGAAGAATAAGGAACCTTTATTCTTCCGCAAATATATCCATTAGATTAGGATTAGATCCATGGGCACTAAGTCAGGTGGCCTCGACGGCCAACGGCTGGGTTCTTGGTCAGCTATTCAATTATTCTTGAAATTGGTTGCAGAAATTTGCTGATAACTTCAGCATTCAGAGGCGGTGCGTCGTCTTGCTGGAAAAATATGTTTTCTTAAAGTTCTATTAAGGGCATATCATCAATATATCTAAGTCTAAAGCCTACTAGTTAAAAGTGGCGAACTTTTAAAAAATCTGTATTTCGAAGGGGATTATAACAAAATATCAAGTGTGCTATATTTTTGGAAAGGTAATTTTAAATTCTTTTCAGCTAATTAAAAATATGCAGGGTGTCCCATATAAAAAATCAAATTTTCTGTTGATAATTCTTAAATTATTAATTTTAAAAAAATTATACTTAAACCATTAAATTCTACGTAAAAAGGTGCTTTGGAAATGTTTGCATAAAAATACAAAATTTTCCATAGCAGAAAAGTTACAGCGATTTGTTAAAAATGCATATTTTTGAAAAACACCCCGTAACTCCGAAACGGTAACAGATATCGATATGCGGTTTTCACCATCATGTTTTTGACGAAAATTGAGCTCCAGACACCGATATTAGTAGTTTTTGTCTATCTCCTATAGAAAAGGTTGTTTCCATTTAAAAGCGTCGAATTTGACCCACCCTGTACATTACCTATTTCGATCTTATTTTTCTTCTATTTTACCAACAAATTCATAGTAATAATATTAGTTCAGACCTTTTTTTTAGAAATCAGTTCCTCATCCAGACTTAAAGACTCACCAAACTTGATTTTCTTGAACAGATGTTTGCATGTCTGAGTGCCTGTTTTAGTTGGTAATATTTCTAAAGAATAAACTACTATTAAGTCGGTACTTCAATTCATTCATCCACTCTGTCTGTCAGCAAGTATCAGAGTTAATTACTTTAAGATTAAGCGACTTAAGTCATTCGTAGTTTTAGTTAACTCTGGTCAAGTGGTTTTTATTGTCTTTATTAAACCCCAGAATTTTCTATTATTCTAATTTTGTATATACGTGCATTATTGTTTTTATTTAAGAGATTAAGAAAAAAAAATATAACAAACGATGAAATTGATATCAAGAGGAGTATACTAACGGACTAGATGAAAACAGTTATTAAGCTTTTCCAATAAAAAAAGAAAATTAAATATATCAGCGTGTCTAATAAGAAAATAATACGATCCGGAAAAAGCAATTAAACTTTTTTTAAATTAAGATGCCCCGAGCACGTAGTGTTGTAAAATGTATGTTTAAAAATTTTGCGTGGTGTTTGATGGACTAATGCGATTTAAATTGAACGGTTTTTTCATTATTTACGCTAGTATTGTGTGTTGAGCTCTTGTTAGCTAAACATTCGTTAGCAGTGGCAGCCTCTACCACGTGCAGCACATTTTCAAATTACTGCAACACAAAGAGATCGGTTTGTTATTGAGTTAGCGCGTGCCTAAATTTACGGTGCACTATAAAAACAAAGAATTTTCTTGAAATCAACCAAGCAACTAGATTAAGAGTTCGTAAAATTACAGAACATTTCACTATTCAGTTCTATACATATTATATTATTTTGATACAATGATAAACTTTTTTTATTGATTTATGTTAAATACTTTACCACTGTACGGAAATAAAACAATAAATGATTTAAATTTTGAAGAGGATTCATGCATTATCTTGATAACTAATGCTAACTCTGGGGGTGTGGCTGTGAGCCATCAATATTCACTGTTGTACTACATCTGGAGGATTGTACCTCTCTAAGTTGTAACAATCCCAGTTGTGCATTATGAATAACTGATGAAGTACGGAGTACCAGCTGAACTAGAAAAATAATCATGACAGGAACAAGTATAGAACGTCGCTGGAATTCATTAAATCATTCTCTTCCTTTATTATTTGTTTTTATTTTATTTTAAGCGTGTTTATGCAATTATTAAAAGTCCTTAGTATCTTCTTTCACTGAGAAGTCGTTAATTTTCTATGATTTTACGCGATTGACCTACACTGATGTACCCTATATTTAAGATTTCTCTCTCGCTTGTCGGGAATAAAAAGCCTTTCTTGGTCATTTTTTGCTCAGTTGCTTGTTTGCACCCTTTCTCTTTGCTAATCGCAAAAATGGCTTCTTTGTAATTACGCGGATCGTCTGAAAAAGACGCACGAATTCATCGAAATATCGAACAAAAGCCTCTCAAATATTAATTTATTAGAAAGGTAAAAAAGTTAACTGTTATAATGATAACGTTGCACGCTTCATAAATTTTTACAGTCATCCGATTCTCCAAAAATTAATAAAATTAACGAAAAAAAGCCAAACGAACTAACTGTAGTTTGTTTTTAGCCGGAGGCAAAAGCGAATCATAACCCAAATTGTATATAGCATCATCAGTATTTTTATTGAGCAATCTTCTACAGTAAAAAAGTGAAGTGTGGAATAAGAACACGCAAACCTCATCAGATAGAACGAGTATAATTAAATAATTTATAATGTAACATAGGTTTTGAATAATAAAAAGTCACTATTAATCTTTTTTTGACTTTTATCAGAATAATTTAACAAGGTCGAAATTAGTAGTGGGAACTATCGAATGAATACTATCGAAACATTCGATAGTTGCAATTCATTCGAATAATTCGATAGTAAGAAAACATTCGTTGAAAACTATTCGAATAAAAAATATCGAATAGATCCGTCATCTGCCTTGAAATATTGTATTCTAGTAATTCGGCAGCAAATACCATTCATTTATAAAATTAATTCATTTATTCGTCAGGATCGATTATAATAAAATATTAACTGAATTTTAGTTGTCGCCCGGCGACGTAGGTTTCTTTCCGAGAAACCCGACAGCGGTCGGTGGCAATGCTATGAAAGAAGCCGGCATCTTTGATTTTTTGCGGAGTCAGATATAGATAAGAACACATTATTTTTTTTATTGAGGTGCTAGTATTTACACAAAAAATACATTATGAAGGGCGCTGTTGCCATATTTTGGTATTAGTTGATATTAGCAAAAGAATATTATTGTTTGGCTTTTAGTTAGTTAGGGATAGTATGTCTATATATTCTGCATTTTTTTTTATTAATATTCTATTGTTACACTGCAATAATACTTGTTATTTTGGATGTAGGAAAATAAGTTTTAATGTTTTTAAGCAAAAGACTGGTTTAATAAATAATAATAACAGTAATAATTTGTTATACCTATTAACAATAAAATTTAAAATCATTTAATATAAATATTTTTTTTTTAGTCTCTAAATTTTTTTGTGTGTGCAACGTTGGTTTATTAAATAATAATAATTACAGAACTAATTTGTTATATTAACAACAAATTTTAAAATCATGAAATATAAACATTTATTAATTTTCTAAGCATGCAGTGTAATGGAAGAAAAATATAAATAAAAATTAGAAATCAAAATTATTTATATTAGGTGCTTTATATTACTATTTAAAAATTATATTTACTTTTACTGGCATTTACTTTAAAAATAAATGAAATATTTCTTCG